GTCCTGGGGCTGTAAAATTTAGCTGAGAAGAGGAACTTTTGTTGAGCTTGGGCTTAAGGAAGTGACGAGGACTGGGCATGAAAGAAAACAAAGGGAAATCGTAGGATGGGACATTGAGGCTGGAAAAGAGTGATAGAGTTCAGAGCAATCCATCTTGTTGAATCAGGCTTGTTCCTGTTCACACATCTAGTGGCTTTTGTCCAGTCAAGCTCTGTTAAATTATGGCACTTCCTTTGGGAGACAGTCCCCTGATTTAGTGCATCTCTTGGACCAGGAAGCTCTACCCTATACTCAGCTGAGAGTCTTAGTATTTTCCTTTCCTCTGGTTCATTTTATTGCTGTCTTTCATCATCCTTTTCCTGATACTCTGATTAGTTGTAGTAGTATAATGTCAGAGAGGTAGAATTTGATACCATCCTCTCAGCCCTCCTCCAGGGTGTCAGGGATGTGCCTTTTCCCCTGTCCTTGCTCCCTTGGAGGGGCTGGAGAAGGGTTTGCAAGAAGCCAGCTCCAGAACAAAAAGAAGAGTTTTCCAGCTGGCAAAGTAAGACTGCTTCAGGGTCTGGAAGATGTCCAGCTCTCTTGAAAGTGGGACATCTCTCTTGAAGTGTCCACACAGCATCCAGCGGTACTGTATGACCAACGGTATCTCCCTTTCTGCATATGGTGGTTGATCATGCTGTTGCTGCTTTACTGTGCCACAAAGACTGTAGAAACTTGCTCTTGCTAATAGCTCTGCAGAGATCGGCTCATTCAGCCTCCCTTCTGCTCACAGGGGAACCACGATAACAAGATGGGGAAGGAGGGAGGGGGACAATAGTGGTGGTATTAGCACCACCTTCTTAAGGCTGTGAATGTATTCCCAAAGCATGTTTTATTTATCTGCTATACATCTTGCTGTCTCATGTGTTGTGCGTTCTCACCCTAGGCACTGTTTTTGAGTTCTCCTTCCTACTACAGTCACCACAAAGAGCTTTCCTGCCAAAGAGATGCTGGGCTGGTTTTCCATGTTGGGTCTGTGACTGTTCAGTGGCTTGCTGCCCAGGTTTCTATACTTTGTATAGTTGCTCTCTGGTTTCTGTGGTGTTCCCAAGTTGGACCTTGCAAAATGGAAAGCCCAGGAAACCTGGAAGACAGACAGCTATAGAAGGACCACCATTGTTCTTCTCTCTTCCCCCTCCCTCATTTTCCAACCATTTTTCTGGCTCTTTCACTGCATTTTTCTTCTACTGTCCCTGTCCTGAAGGTCGTCTTGCTGCTGGGTGATCTCTGAGTGCTCCCTCCCTCCACACACTCAGCGGCTGCTGGTGCTACATAGAATTCAAATCTCAAGATTGTATGATTGTTGGTAAACCTGCATTTAAGGGATGGCTAAAATTTGAAAGCTATCACAGGAGGTTTAAATGCTTCCTGGAAGATTGCATTTGGCATAGCTCAGATTACCAACGTAGCAAGAGGCTGGAGCAGGTACGCGGAAGTAACGTGAAATGTCCCAAGCCCCTTCCTTGTAGAATTCTGGTTTAAATTGTGAAGATTTGCACCTATTGAAATGCCCAGATGCCATTTGCTAGAAACTCATGTGTATTTTTCTGTACACAGGGCAAGACACATCTAAACAAGCCTTGAGAGGCTTTGAGGTACGCAGTTTGGTGCACCTCACGTTGGAGATTCCATCCTTTTCCCCCTGCTCCCCTTGGTGGGATAATCAGCAGTTGCCTGGGTAGATTTTATGGTAGGGTGCAAAATCATTAAGTACTCTCAACTTTTTATTCTTTTAGACATTTTTAAGAAACTAAAAAACAGAAAACCAATATTGTGAAAATACCTCTGCTTCTTTACCTATTTTGAAATGTTTAGCCTTTCTGAGTTTTGGGTTGGTTTTTTTTTTTGGTGGTGGTTTGGTTTTTTGGGGTTTTTTGCTGTCTAGTATTGGGGGAGTTAATTTAGAAACATGCATTTTAGGGGAAGTTGAAGGTGATGGTGGTGGGAAGAAAGATTAGAAAATACTTTGTGAACAGAAAATACAGTTACAAAATCGAGACAGAAGATTCTATTCAGGGTCTTCCCAGTGCTCTAAAACCTGCTTTGATTAAAACAGTTATCCACGAGCTGCTTGTGAGCACTTAGAACTTCACTGTGTCTGGCACCTTGCTAGCCAAGTGAATATGAAGTGGTACTCAGTCCTTCTCCTGTGTTACCTGGTTGTGATTCTGTCTTATGTGCTGCTCGTGGAAGGGTTGTCTGTAGACCTAAGAACTGTACCACAGTGGACATAACAGTGCTTATAGAAATCAGGTTTTAATGGTAACGTTGTGCAAGGGAGGGAGATCTCAATTTGCTTTCTGCAGTACAGGTGAGTTTGCAGTCAGTATTTTCCCTTACAGTGAGCAGGACTATTCTGAAGTCCTCTGAAACAGACGTGGGAACAAGTTATTGTTTGTTTTAAATCAGTTTCTGGCACTGGGTGGCATTTACAATCTTTTTCAGTGGCAGAATGGATTCAGCATTGAGGGAAGATCCTATTTCCATGTCATACATCAGAAAAACTAAAATCAAGTACTGGGGTATTGCTAAATATCATGATACCTTAATGGTCAAAAGACCAGTAGGGGCTATAGACAGGGGTCTCTATTGCCATTCCCTGGAGATAAGGTCTCTCCCTGAGTCTTCATCTTATGGTAGAGGATTCTGGATGCACTGAGCCCCCTCAGCCCTCTTGGTGTGCCAGACAGCCTAACCTGGTGGAGTTGCTTCTGCAGCCCCTGTACCCTGCTGCAGCAATGCTTTGCTATAGCACACTGGTGGGGACAGGAAGCAGCAGTGCTGTCTGGAGGAAAGGTACAGCACTGGTACGAAGATGCCATGGAACTGCTGTGGTTTCTGTGCCAAATGGCAGTGACATCAAGCAGTCAAATCCCTCCCCCAACATGTTGGTGTCTTGTGCATCACAGGAACATCATGAGTCCGTTTTCCATGGAGGAAATAGGAAAGCCAGGCAGCAAGGCACTCAGAGTGGGACAAACCAGTTTTGTTTTGGTGCCTGAGCTGGAGGGAGCCACCTCTGTGGCCACCCTGGAGACCTCCATGTACCTGGCAGTGTGTTCCAAAAGGGAGAGGTAGCTAGTGCTGGATGAGGCACAAGAAAAACCCAGGAGCTAACATCATACAGTTCTTCCTGTTTTGGTAGCCAGTGGATATTAGCATCACAGAAAAGGACTTTTGTTTTCAAGTGAAACAGAATTCAGGCCAGATGTATAAGAGTTGATAGAGCTTATTGGTCTGAATGTGGATCATTCTTTGCCTTGACAGTGTACCTTTTTTAATTTGAGATTTAATAGTGGTACTTATAAGGAGGATGGTACCAATAGTATAGCTCCTATTCTCAGTAAATCTCCATGGAACTAGCCTTCTCCGAAGAGACTTTCTGCCTATTCAGTATATGGAGAAACTAAGGCACAGGATGGTAATGAGTTGCAAGATGTCACTGTAAGCTAGGAACAAATCCAGGAGAAGAGCCCAGCTTTATCAGGCTCTTAGTCCTTGTTCCTTGTACAGGGAAAGCAGCTGGTTTCTGTGGCTGCAGACCCACAAATGGCATTGGTGACAGCTTCTGATCTTCCTATGTCAGACCTCTGCCAGCCTACTCACCGGGACACATGTCTGCTCTTTTTCCTTTGCAGGAGGCCTGGGAGAACAGTCTCTTGTGTCAAGTGAGAACTCCACTTCAACCGATCGTAGTAACAAAGCAGTTAAAAAGGGTAATGTGGTACCCCACCCAGACCTTTGGGTATCTTTTATTTACTTTTTTACCCCCTGTAAAACCACGTTTTGTCCTTTGTACGCGTGTGTGCCTTCGTGCCTAGGAGACCAGCCTTGCCCAGGCATCTGCCTGTTGCTGTTGGTGGACTTTCTGCAAGGGTGGGTTTGCCTTGTATAGTGTGGTGGGTTGACCACAGCCAGCGGCCAAGCACCCACACAGCTGCTCGGTCACTGTCCTCCTTCAGCAGGGTAGGGGAGAGATCAGGAAGAGGAAAAGTGAGAAAACTCATTGGTTGAGATAAAGAGAGTTTAATAAATGAAGAAAAGAGGAAAATAGAAACAAAACCAAGTGATATAAAAAAGCAGTTGCTCACCCCTATCCACAAGCAGACTGATGACCAGCCAGTTTCTGAGCAATGGCTACCTTGGAAGACAAAATCCCACAGTTTTTAATTGCTGAGCTTGATGACATATGGTATAGGATATGCTGTCTGGATTTCTTCTGCCCCCTGGGGATAGGGCATCTGCTGCCTGCTTTCCCCACATCCCTGCTAGGAGGGTGTGCCAGGCCTCTCCAAGGATCCACTGCAAATTTAAGTTGTTAAAGGCAGAAAATTTTAGCAAGAATTAGGAGGAGTTGAGTTGTTGCAGGACTGGTGTGGAGAATTTACGCAGGAAGATCTGTTGCCGGTGAGGAACGGAAATGTTGGTGGCACAGAAGTGTGGACCCAGAGTCCTCTGTGCAGAACACCTACTGCACCAGGCACAGGAGAACATGGGGCAGATGACTTCTCACTTGGCTTTGCTGGCAGAAGCTGTCTGTGTGCAAATTCACAGAGATTTTAGGCAGCCCTAGGAGCAATTTGTGACTGGAGAACAGGTATCCAGAAGATTACTTGTGTCTTGAGACCCTCTCCCTTCTTCCAGCTGTGGCCCTCGTAATGCCCCTGCAATACCTCTGTGGAGTAGGTGCATGCAAAGAAGGGGAGGGCAGCTCTTATTTCATTGTGGGAACCCCTAGCCTCAGAGCATCTGCTTTCCAGGGTCCAGCTGCTGGTTTGGGGATGGGGCAGCTTCTGAAATGCCGGGTGCAGCCAGCGTGCTGGGGAGATGCTCAGGAGGAAGAGGAAAAAAAGGCAAATTCCCATCTTTGTCCTGCATCTCCGAGCAAAGGCCTCCAGCAAGAAGGGCTGGACCTCGTGAAGCAGGATGGGAGGGTTTGAAGTTCACTCCTTCAATCCCCCTGCTCTGCCTTAATTTTCTTCCCATTGATTTGATCCCCTCAGCCTTGACAGTAGTGGTTTGCTTACCCGTGCTGCTGCTGGAGGTATGAATGGAAGGAGAGGCTCTCAGCAGCCCCTCTAGTCACCAGAGGAGGGTCTCACTGGGGCTTGTGCTTTTTCATAAACCAGCAGCCCATGTCCCTGACTTGGGAAGCAAAGCTGTAGCTAGTCTTGCTAATTTCCATATGAATCACAAGACCACAATTGGAGCTTAGATCCCTCCTCTTGGAGCTTTAGAGAGGCCCACCAGTACTGAGGAGCCACTGCTAGCAGCACTGCCTTTGGAGGTGAGAGAATTCCCTTTAGGCCAGCACTCTCTGCAGGTGTAGCAACCCCTGCACTCTATTATTCCTTTGCCCAAGTCCAGCTTGTGCAATACAGGCAGCTTATCTAAGAAATGGTGTCTACACAGTCCTTACACATGCTAGTAAAGCCCAGCTGGACTTAAGGCTGCTTTGAGGTTTGGGGTCACCCATGGCACAGCAAATAGGGGGTGAACAGCCAGGAAGCTCTGAATGGAGGATATTTTCTGCTGGATCAGACCCACAGCACATTAAAAGTGCAACTTGTGTAGGTGTAACCAGTATCTGAGCAGAGCTGCAGCAGCACAGATGCAGGGCAAGGTACAGGTCCCGTTGGAAGCCTGCGTGAATCCTCAGGCAGGTTTTATGGCCAGCACCAAGCACCACACAGCCAGGGCTCCTCTACCTTTTTAGCAAGAAATGAGACACATGTTCTCTTTTCCCTTTTGTATTTTTGCTCCTTTTCATTAAAATGAAGAGATGGAAATTTGTGTTAAGTATAGAATGCCTCACTTTTCCACCCTAAGCATCCTTCCTCCAGCAGAGACTGATCTGTGTATGTTTCCAAACCAGCCAAGACCTAGTATGTGAAAACAAACACTTTTATGTAATACTTTTCAGCCTGGAGTACAGGTTTCAGTCTAAGAGGCTTGTCCTCTTCTTCCAAAGCCAACTTGAATGAGTAGTTGTTGCAGTTGTGAAGCTAGCCCTGCCAGAACAACCCTTTCTCTGTAGATCTGGATGAGTAGGACAGGTTGAGAATATACAGTGACATCTGGGCTTGTTTGACCTCCTTCCTCCCATTCCCTTTGTTTAAGTACTGTGTCCCCATCTATGAAGTTGCTGTTGGAGAGAGTGAGTAGCTTGAGGTGGGGGGGGGGGGGGGCCTTTTCAACTT